TTGATTGTTTGAATGATTTATATGCAATTATCGTTTTTCGCAATTAAAGGCCCGTGATTGTATGAGTTGGGTGACTAGTTCTTGCATTCAGGAGAAGTAGAATATGTTCGGCACTATATAAATCAACGTAGGGTCCGATAGGGGATAAAAATATATCCCTATGCCCTACGTGAATCTATAAGTACTCACAAATCCATATGCATTTTTGTATATGCACTTGTCATAAAAATATAGGCCAGTGGTATGTAAAAGTAGGTTCAATACATCTCGAGAGAGAGTATTGGATAGATTTAGAAGCATTGATTCGTCAACAAATCAATCATGCTGCCACATTGTAAAAATTAGGATTTAAAGTGATGTCGCATGAAAACTCGTGATCCTAATACGCTTAATTTTCATTGAATACTATGAAATCGCGTTTTCAACATTTATTTTGCATTCTAGGTTGTTAAAAATAAGTTCATAAAAGTGTTCTCAATTTCGAGGATACTAAAAAGATCTATAATTCCGCCCGGAACAAAATGAGTTCTGAAAGAGGCTTCTTCAACTTCAACTGAACAATATATATGGCTTTCTTCCACGGTATGTGAAATGCCCCGTTAGAGTGACTCTTTCAGGGGAATTCCGAGAGCCCTTAGCTTAGGGGAATCCGGTTGGATCGAACGAAAAGCAGAAGTAAGAATTTCGCGATGTTCGGACTCATTGAATCCACTTTATTACTTGTTAACGAACCATACACTTGCGGTGGTTTAAAATCGAAAGAAATAATTTCGCGAACAAGGTCATCCCTCTTGGCGTTGAGGTCTTCCACCAAGCCTTTGAGCTGGATGCTGGTGCTCAGAGCCTAGGCCACACAGGCACTATTGGCCACCACTAGGTCCTCGATAGTGCAGGAGGCAGTGTGGTCCCTCCATTCTTCGGTCCAGTACTTATTGTGGACCACTGCCATTGCAGCCGTTTCTGGAGGGAGACCCTCCAGTACTTCTTTTACTGGCTCCTAAGAAGTCCACCTCCTTTGAGGGACGGGCTCTTTTCCTCTTGGGATGCCCCGACACCTGGGCGAGAGGCACAGCAGCAACTGGCAGTGTGGCTGGAGTAGGAGAAGCCTTTGATGGCGCAGGCATTTTCTCCGAAAGGGCCACCCCGGTAGGAATTGTAATTTGCCTCAGAACGGGGGGTGGCCTTGCCACCGTTGGTCGCTTCGAGGGGACAGTAGATTTTTTGCCCTTTCGAAGTAGATTGGCCTCAGGATCCTTGGACACCTCCTCCTCCGTTGGAGGGAGCCTCTTGCTGGCGTCCACCAAGTCATCCATCTGCTTCTTATAGGCGGAGGAAGAGGTCTTCAAGGCCCTCACTTCGCCCATCATCTTTTGTATGGTCTTGAAGTCGGGCCGGAGGCATCTTCTTATTAAAGTTATCTGCAAGAAATAACTAAATTATTTCAAGTGTAAACGACTTGGAAGTACTGAAGGGTATTCACTTCGAGATATTACCTTGTGAGGTCATCAGGTCGTGCGTCACAAAATGAATGTTCTTTCTGATCAGCCGGTGGAACGACTTCTTCTTCGGAAGCAGCTGATATATGACGCAGATGATCTCAAAGTCGTCGGAGGACAGCTCGCACCAAGGAAGAGTGCCTTCAAAAAATGAAAATAAATATTAGTTATGATCCGAACCGAAGAGAAATAAACAAGAAGCACAGTTACAATACTCACTAAGTGACGAGTATTTTGTGGGGACTGTAAGAGGTGCCAGGGGGTCCCCCTCCATCGTGTCCCATCTCCCGATAGCCCAGCACCACGAGCTCTTCTACTCCTTGATGGAGCTCGACAGATCGAGCACGAAACGAGTGTGGGAACCCCAAGAGGTTAGGTAATACCAGCCCCTGGTCTTACCCCCCGGCTGTTACATTGGGAATGTAGAGGGTCTGAAAAATAGAGAAGGGCATCTCCACCCCAAGTGACGCCTCTTTCTATAACATCCCTCCAGGAGTTCGGGTTCAATTGGGTCGGTGCTAAGCCGTAAGACCTAAGCACCGTTCGAAAAAAAGGGTGAATTGGAAGCCTAAGACCGGCCCTAAGGATCGCTTCGCTTATCGCCACGCACCCTAGCCTAGGATAGCAGGCCCTCTCGTCAGGCTCGGGTAGGATCAGGTATATACTATCTGGTATCCTATATTCAATCCTAAGTCTTTCTAGGTCGGTCCCCTTTAGCTTGGAGGGATAATCTGATGCCCCTAATGCACAGAAGTATCTGCTGGGCTATCCGGCCTCGTCCAAATGTTCTCCCCTCCAAGTATTGCTTCGGCTACTTCGGAGGAGGTCACCACAATGGGATCGTCCATCCACACTAACTCTAGCCCCCTCCCCGAACTAGCACTACCCTCAGAAGCCATTTTCAGAAAGGAAATGTCTCAAATATTTACTGAAACTTACGAGTTTGAGTGTTCTCTAGCCGAAAATGGTCAAAAAGCAGTGTGTTGTTGCCGAAAATTTAAATTTGTCGCCGGAAATGCTTGAAGAATGTCGAAAATAGCAAAGAGTTTGAGAGCAATGGGATTTTCTGTTTTCGCAAGAGTGAAAAGCTCCAAAAATGTTCAAGTCCGCCTTTTATAGAGCGCTCCAACTAATCTCCACAGTTGAATTCAAATGTAATCAATCTAGGCCGTCCGTCGCATTATCAATCTAGGCCGTTGAAATGAAACGTCAGATTTGATCTATGCCTAAGATTTTGCTGTGACCCTCACGCTCGCATAGAACGCGTCGCCTCGGTCACCACAAGTCGTCAACAATAAGTAGCCGCAGTAGCTTTTTAGGGGAATGGGCGCTGCACCCAACTATCACCTTGGAAATGCACAACAGCTGTCAAATCATTTAACGTCAGATACGCCCACCTCGGATCAAGCTCCTTACTCAACTTTACAAAGCTTAGACGCACCTGACGCGGAGTCCCCTATGGATCATCGCCTCAGTCGCTGCGTTCCCTCCTAAGCTTTACAAAGTTTTAGCCATCTCCCAACGCGTCGTCCCCTATGGGTCAGCACACCGATGGTAGATGAGCTCTTCACTCAACTTTATATAGCTTAGACGCACCTGACGTGGAGTCCCCTGTGGGTCATCGTCTCGGTCGCTGCGTTCCCTCCTAAGCTTTACATAGTTTTAGCCATCCCCTTACGCTTCGTCCAGTTAGGCAGCACCTCGATCTCACATAAATTTTTCCTCCTGCAGTAGTGAAGCTTTAGCGCATCTACCTAGGATCAATGCTTCGGTGAACACAGATGAATGACCCTCAAGTTCTCACAAATCACGGTCCCCATCCCGAGGCATACATACCCGATCGGGAAGACAAGTCCACTAATGATATAAATATTCATACCTGAACTTGGGGGACCACTGTTACGCCCCTATCTAAACCACTTCAGATGAGCAAAGTCCACCACCACATCATGCGAGGTGTGGAACGCTCATCCAAAGTGGTTCCGAAGTGACTTCACCAACGGTGACGATCTGCTATCACACTACGAGGCATAGGCAATTCTGCGGGACTGATCGAAGCGCCCTCGTCCCTGAATCCGAGGCGAAATGCACTCCAAGGACCTTCGCCAGAGGATTCGCCGCCAATTTCAGAATGAGATCTTTGTCAGAATATTTTTTGTACCTAAGGTTTAAAGTAATTTGACGTCTCCATGAGGCTAGTTGATGTAACGTATCAACTTTATGTCAACTCAACTCGGGAGAAGTAATTACCCACCCAATTTATAGACGCAGCTGATTGACGCCTATGAGCAGACGCCTCATACCGTCAGATGTATACACATGTCCCACATCCAACGGCTTTCCTCACCTATAAATACCCAAGGCTTGGCAAGAGGCAAATGTGATGAAACTCTTACTACTTAGCGCTCCATAACAAGCAAATATATATATTCTCCTCCCTACTATTTTGTACAACCTTGGTACTGTTCCGATCACTTGAGCCTAACTTGACCGTCGGAGTGTATACGATCATCGCCACCCTTGTTGGTTCCGACTGTGTGCATCTGACCGTGAGTTGATTATGCGTAGGGAGGAATACGTGGAGCGGCTATCGGTTGGCCACGTGAAGGGTCCAATTTCTGAGGTCTACATATGGTGTTTCTACCGTCCTAAGTCAGCAATCTCTTGAGCCTAATTGTAGAGAATCTCTCGTCCATTTGAGCCAAGAATCAGATTTACTCTTTTGATCCCAACCAGCAAAACTCTTTTTTTAGTACATTATTAATAAGGTACATAGAATGCCAAGATACATTTTTTCTTATATTTGGTTTTATGATTTTGATTTGTTTTGTTTGTTTCTTGTATATAAGTTCTTCTTTTATTGAACAAATTGCTATGGTTATCAATTTATTTGCACCCATTAATAAGCTATTCCAACTATATATTGATTTTCTTTGGCCATAGCTTTTTTCTGAGCCGTCAAATTAGTGATTCAACTATCATAAACTATGGTTTTAAAATATTTGAGTGTTGAACCAAGTCTTTTTTAACCTTCAACACACCTAGACCAGATTAACATTGTATGAAATGTGCACCATTTTTTATTTCCATAAATACTACCTTGAACCACCTCATCCCAAAAGCTCAAGCTATTATAAAGGCAATGCTCTTATTTGTTTAGCCCCTCGTTTGATAGTAGTTTTTCACCCTAAAAATCAATTTTTTTTACCGTTATTTCACTATTTCAGTCATCATTTTTGACTTTTTCACTCACAGTTGGAACTCACTTTTCTCTCTAATAGTAAAAAAATCAATTCTCATAATTACTACCAAACAGACCCTTAGTCTCTACAATGGATATAAAATAATTGAAGATAGTTTGAGAGGCCATTGTGGACGGATATGAGTAAAACTAGCATAGCTGAAATGTTGCATAATCATTTGTGAGCAATGCCATTCTAAACCTACAGACTTTTACTTCTATGGAAGAATAACGTGTATAATTATGTGCGAAGGTAAACCATCATGATAGGCTTTAAGAATCGGTATATGGTGATGGAGTTGTTTCTTGATCCATGTAAGGATCTTGGCATGGATGAGCCTGTTATAATTACCCAATTCAATTTATCAAAAGCTATCAAAGACAACGTTCTCATAAACTTTGGGGAATGTGGACTAGCCTCCTGATGCAGCACCAACGGAACAATTAATTGCAAATTAGAATAGATCTATGGGGAGTGAGAATTAGAGAGAAGAAAGGGGACGGGGATTTAACAGAAGGGAAGAAAGAAAATAGGAAGAGAGGAATACGCTATGAGCCATCAAAATATTATTCATTCATCAATTGAAAATTACAATGCAAAATAGGTTTAAATAGTGAAGCAACCCTAATGAGATTGGGCTCGAGCCCATGCAAGTCCAAATTTAAATAATAGTCCAAGAAAATAAATAAAGCTTAAATAAAATAAGTAAACGTTGTCCGATGTCCTCATCAAATCTCCCGGGGTGGGAGAAAACTCGATCCTGTCGAGTGGATATATCACTATAGGCTGTTGTCAATCTCCCAACCATAAGCTGAGTGGTTGGGCAAGCTTCTTCCGGCGTCTATAGAAATGTGTCAGTGGAGGTCTGAACCTGGTGTCTTCATCAATTTCCCTTGGGTGAACGGGACGCGATCTAGGCCAAGGAAGATCTTGCTGACTTCGATAAAACTCCAATAAATCTAGATCCAATTGTTGTAGTGTCTCTCTGGAGATCCATGCACAATCAGAATTTGGTCGACCAACCCAACGAACGAGGAAGCGCGGAACCTCTCCATCATTAGTAAACACAATTTCTTCATCTAAAATAGCATCAATTTTATCTGTGTGTGCTGTGAGAGGTGGTAGTGGGTTAGAAGTGGCCAAATAGTCGAGATTAGGGTCCACAAAGGGGTAACAAAGGATCATCTGAGGGAATGAAATGACCTTTATAAGCTACTAGTTCCTCAACATTAAAAGTAGAATGGTAATCAAGATATGGTGGAATGTCAACAACATAGGCATTTGGACCAACTTGCATTAAAATTTTAAAAGGACCAGCACTACGAGCTTGCAATTTGGAGGCGGGTCCATGTAGACGCCGCTCTGGCTTAATGCGGACCATAACATAATCCCCAACGTTAAACTCAATATGGTGTTTATGCACATCAGCTTGGAGTTTATATTTTGCATTACTAACTTCAAGTTGTTTATTGATTTCAATATGCAAATCACGAAGATGTTGTGCAAAGGCTTCGGCTGACATTGATACTCTAGCCTATGGGGACATAAGGATGAAATCTAACGGTTTCCTAGGCTTGTACCCATGAACGGCTTCAAATGGACTCATACCTAAGGAATGATTGATGGAGCTATTATACGCAATTTAAGCTGCAGGAAGGATCAAATCCCAATTTCGAAGATTTTTTCGGACCAGACAACGCAATAGGTTACCAAGACTTCAATTAACTACTTCAGTTTGACCCTCAGTCTGAGAGTGGTAGGTCGTAGAAAATTTCAATTTGGTACCCATCTTTTGCCACAAAGTCCTCAAAAAATGGCTAGTGAAACGAACATCCCTATCGGACACAATGGTCTTAGGAAGCCCATATAATTTAACAATCTCATTAAAGAACAACATGGCCACCTTAGACGCATCTGAGGTTTTGCTACAAGGGATAACATGAGCCATTTTTGAAAAATGGTCGACAACCACAAAATAGAATCATGTTTCTTTGGGGTGCGTGAAAGGCCTAATATAAAATCCATACTAACATCTTGCCAAGGACAATTGGGGATAGGAAGAGGGATGTATAGGCTTGTGTTTTGCCTCTTCTGTTTACTCAATTGACAAGTGTTACATGTACTAACAATCTTAGCCACATCTTTCTTCAAGCTAGGCCAATAGAATTGGCGTTCAACTTCCTCTATGGTCTTATCACGTCTAAAGTGACCGGCTAACCCTCTAGCATCACTATGAAATCTCGCACTGAAGTTCGAGGGATGCACAATTTATTGGCTCGAAAGAGATAACCCTCCTCAAGTCAGAAGCCATCTATGGTATTTGAATGTCCCCTTCGTAAATCGAGAAAGGTATCCTTAAAATCGGGATATGCCTCGTAATCTTCCTTAAGTTGTTCAAAATCGATGAACTTAACACTCATGATCGACAAACGGGAGACACAACGACTTAATGCATCAGCTGCTTGGTTCTCCACGCCCTTCTTATCTTTTAAAACAAATGAATAGGCCTATAAATACTCAATCCAATGACCATGCCTAGAGCTTAATCTTTTCTGGGAGTTGAGGTAACGGAGGGCCTCGTGGTCCGAATAAAGAACAAATTCCTGGGGTAACAAATACTGGTGCCAATAGCGCAAAGCCTGGACCACAGCATACAGTTCTTTATCATAAGTCGAGTACCATTGTTTGGCTTCATTTAACTTCTCACTGAAGTAGGCAATAGGGTGACGATCTTGACTTAAGACTCCACCTATACCTACCCCGGAGGCATCACATTCAACTTCAAAGACTTTGGAAAAGTCGGGAAGACGCATGACAGGAACCTCCGTCATTCGCTCCTTGACCAACTTAAAGGCCTTAGCTGCTTCTTGTGTCTAAGGAAATTCTCCTTTTTTTTAGGCACCCCGTAATAGGCGCCATAATAGTGCTAAACCCCTTGATAAAGCGACGATAAAATGTAGCTAAGCCGTGAAAGCTCCTAACGTCATGAATCGCTTTAGGCTCAGGCCAGTCAATAATCGCCTGAACCTTAGCAGGGTCAGCAGAAACCCCTGTCGAAGAGATGATGAACCCCAGAAAAATGATTGTATCGATGAAGAAAGAACACTTCTTGACGTTAGCATACAGATTGATTGCACAAAGGGTTGAGCAAACTTGTGAGAGGTGGTTACGATGTTGCTCCTTAGTCTTACTATAGATGAGGATATCATCAAAGTAGACAATAAGAAACTTACCCATAAAAGGTCGAAGAGTTTATGTCATAACTCACATAAAGGTACTTGGCGCATCGTTTAGCCCAAAAGGCATGACCAACCATTCATAAAGACCATCTTTCATTTTAAACGCGATCTTCCACTCGTCACCTGGGCGAACTCGAATCTGATGGTATCCACTCTTCAGATTAATCTTTGAAAAGATTGTGGCACCAACCATCATATCATTAAGTCGAGGAATGGGAAAATGATACTTTACCGTGATCCTATTGATCGCTTGACTATCCACATACATTCTCCAAGAACTATCTTTTTTGGGCGTCAATAAGGCGGGGATAGCACACGGGCTTAAACTCATGCAAATGAACCCTTTATGAAGGAGGTCATCCACTTACCTTTGAAGTTCAGCGTGCTTGGTATGATTCATCCTATAATGAGGCAAATTTAGAAGGGATGCCCTTGGGACGAAATCTATGGCATGTTGAATATCCCGTAGAGGAGGTAGATGATTAGGTAAGTCCTCCGAAAAGACATCTCGAAACTCTTGGAAGATCGACTGGACTTCAGCAGGGCTCTCTGTTGTGGGGTGAGATGAAACCTCCATGACTACCAAAGCGAACACAATTGAGTCACCAACAAATGTATGCTCAAACCCCGTAGGACTAATGATATGCAATCCCTTTCGCTCCACACTCTTTTTCATTTGCAGTGGGCCAACAGGCTTTGGGGGAAGTGGGTTAAGATGGATCTTCTTTCCATTAAACACGAAGGAGCAGGAATTGGATCGACCATAGATGGTTACATCTAGATCAAATAACCAAGGTCATCCCAAGATGATATGCCCGACATCCATTGAAATGACGTCACACCATATATGGTCCTTATACTCTAGGAACTGGATAGGGACTAAATAACGCTCCTTAACAGCTATAGAAGAGGTATCGACCCAAGAGACGCTGTATGGCTGAGGGTGAAGAACTGGCTTCAACCCTAGACGGGATACAATAGCCATCGAAACCGCATAAAGCAGCTGCCACTATCCACGATAACTTTACAGCCCTTATTATTGATCTTGATGTAAGTGTGGAAGATGGCATGACGGCGCCAATCATCGGCATCCCTATGCTGGGTAAGAGTGCAACGGACGACACCGACTCTAGGCGTATGTGGGATAAGGGGACTAGCCTGAATACAACCTAAGAAGGTATCTTCACTATCCTCCAAGTCATCAAACTCTTCTAACTTAGGCTCATAAATCTGGTCCTCTAATGGCTCGTCAAATATACCTTCACGCTCTTCCAAAACTAGGGCTCGACTAGCATACTTAGAAGAAATGTGATCAAAACCCTTACAGTTGAAGCATTGCAAATGAGAGGACGTTCTTGAAACCTCAGAACCTCTACCTTTGCTATCCGATGTAAGGGTAGTATTAGAAGGAGGAGGTCCTAGAATAGACTTAGGGGATGGAGTGGATGCAGAAGAGGTTGCAATACGGGAGTCACTACGATTTCTATACGGTATCCTAGTCACTAACTTGTAATCCCGAATGAAAGAGTAGGCGTGGTCAAGAGTGGTGATGCCTCTGAGGACAAGCTCTTGTCTAAGATCATCCCGTAGGCCTTGCCTAAACCTACTCAAGTTCATGACCTCATCCTCAATGACCTGACATCTCATTCGAAACTCGTCAAACTGAGCAACGTATTCATTCACAGGTCGACTGCCTTGCGTAAGTGCGTTCCATTGATCCAGCAAGTTGCCCCTGTAAGATTGAGGTAAATATTTTTCGTGAAGGTTACGCTTCATTTCATCCCAGCTCCCAACAGGGAGAGCATGGCATCTCTCCAGAAGGCCCTCAACACTTTCCCAAAAGAGTTGAGCTGTGCCAGTTAATTTCAAACTGGCAAATGATACCCTCCGATCTTCAGGGACCCCATACCAGGCAAAGAAGCAATCCATATCTCTGACCCATTGATTGAATACACTAGGATCTTGACAACCATCAAATGTAGGGTCATCTATCTTAATATTTCGAAAGAGGCGCTCCTCGTGGCGAGGGGGAGATAGTGTACCATGACGGTGATATTCGAGTATGGGGTTGGGTCAAGAGTGTTCAACCTAGCGGTTAGGGCTCTATTCTCCTCACGAGTAGCGACCACCTCAGTTTGGACAACCGTTAATTGATTTTGTAATTGTGCTAACTGTCGGGTGAGAGCTTCAATTTGAGGAGGATCCATGGCAAGGGTACTAGCACTAGACACAGTAACACGACCACTACGCAATTGCATACACTAGCTAGGTGAAGTGCGCTATAGAGATCAATAAACAACGATTGCAAACAGTAGATTAGCAATCTAAAATTTTATTATGTAATTTTTTTTGTTTGTTTTTTCTTTATTTATATTTTTTTTTGTTTTTTTGTATTTATTAAAAATGGGATTACGTAAGGTCCGATATTAGCAAGCCAATAATACTAATGCGAATAAAATAAAAGGCAATGGTACCAATGATAGAATAGTCACGTGAGGTAAACGAGTGAACAATGGGAGTTAGTTCACGAATTTCTACTGATGCGAATAAAATAGAAAGTAAGGATACAGTTGACTAGTCGAAATGCTGAATATGTGGGGTAATCGGGGAATAATGGAAGTTAACTCACAAAATTCAATCTAGTAGGGTGTAAGGCTAAAATTAGCAAATAACAGCAACACTAATATTGTAATTGATGCGATTTTAAAATGAAGTAACAGTATAAGAGAAAGATAGATAAGAGTAGTAACTCCCCACAGGTCGGGTGTGACTCCCAGTATTCTGTTTGGTTTGAGTTGCCAACGTGTGGGGCCCTAGGTATGTTTCTGTCCTAACTCTTGCCTCAGTTGCCTTCAACTTCAGAAGTCCTCCTGCTAAATCTGTGATGCCTGCTGTCTTGATTCTGATTCTGATGTGGTAGGGGTTACAAATATTAACCAATTTTACAAGAACCTGTATCTGACTCCTTTGAATTCCTCGAACAGAGGCTTGAAATTGATTTTATGATAGGGTGGTGGCTGCTTTGACAGTGATTTGTGAATGATAGATGAATGGTGTGTGACGTGAATTATGGTTGTGGTGGATGGTGGCGAATCTCACGTTCGGTTTTGAGGAAGTCGAGTCGCAATGAGGATGAAAATTATGGTAAGGCAGCGAAGTTTGATGAGTTTAAATCTGAAGATTTACGTTCGATGGCTTATGGCGTGGCGATGGGGTGGGTGGGTTTACCGACGTGAGTCAAAGTAGTAACGCGATGGTGTAGTCGGCTGCAGTAGAACGGTTGTTGCCAGGTAGCAAAGTCGCCGGTATGGAGGGGCTATTTGGGTTCTGGGATAATGAGAAGTGGCTGGCTGATTGATGACCGGTCAATTAAGTGATGATGTTGGCCTAGGATGTAGATTGGTAACTGGTTGCGGTTGCCTTTGAGTTCTGTGTGGCGGGAAGCAGGGAGGACGAGGGTCGGTTGGAGAAGAAGACGGGTCAGATTGAGAGCTGATTGTGAAGGTAGAGTGAAGGGGATGGAAAGAGGTAACGATCGACTGGAGTGTAAAAGTCGGCGACACTGACTGGCAGAAGCGAGGGAACGGGCGACTGGAAATCGAGACGATGGGAAGAGAAGAAGGTGGTGGTGTCGTCGACGGGTTAGGGCTTGGGTTGGGCTAATATGGGTTTGAACAGACCGTAAGTGAGTTAGGTAGTGAGATATGGGCTGGGTTGGGCTAATATGGGTTTGAACTGACTGTGTTTATTAAAGGTGGGCTGACTGAGTGTTGGGCTTGAGTTATGGGTTAATTAGTTGGGAATAAAAAAATTGAGCCCAACTAAGCATTGTATTGAAATTAGTGTAATGAACAGCAAAAATTGATTTGGAATGAGCAGTAATTTCGAAACGGTAGCAAGATGAATTTTTTTTTTTGGGTAATATTGTAGAAAAAAAATCTAAAAGTTTGGAATTTGGGATGAATAGTACCCGTGAACAGTTAACTTTTTTTTTCAACTAACAGAGAAAAGTGAAGGAAAAGAAACTAATGCTCGTAGTTAAATCGTTCTCAATTATGCTGTTCCAACAAAAAATTATTGGTATGTGAAAAGGAATTATCCAAGATTTAGCTCTGATACCAAATTTGATGCAGCACTAACGGGACAATTAATTGCAAATTAGAATAGATCTATGAGGAGGGGGAATTAGAGAGAAGAAAGGGGACGGGGATTCAACAGAAGGGAAGAAAGAAAATAGGAAGAGAGTAATGCGCCATAAGGCACCAAAATATTATTCATTCATCAACTAAAAATTACAATGCAAAATAGGTTTAAATAGTAAAGCAGCTCTAACGAGATTGGGCCCGAGCCCATACAAGTCCAAATTTAAATAATAGTCCAAGAAAATAAATAAAGCTTAAATAAAATAAGTAAACGTCGTCCAATGTCCTCATCACCTCCTCTCTCAATTCATTTCAAGGTGCGTTTGGAAAGATTTTACATTTTCATCTAGTACTCGAGCTTATAATTACCATGAATTTCTTTTATACCAGCTTCATGTTTGCATTTATGTTATCTACAGTGAAGTATGTGAATCCAATTACAAAAGTTTGCATCATTAGAGCGATCACCATGGTTAGAAGTGTAGGAAATTGTCCTATGATTTTTAACCTACTTGATTTGAGTGGTGAGCCACAATTTTAACTGTTTTGTTAATATTTATTTACTTTATTGAAGATGATGATCGTGCACTTTTGACTTTATTGATGTGCTTTTTCAGTGAAAGAAACTAATGCCCTGTTTTGGTATATTAATATCATATTATCTACAAAAGATCAGATGAGCATCTACTTGACCAAAGTGGTACATTATACAGCTAAAAAATCTAAACGTTGAGCATTAATGGCTTAGCTTAAAATAAGTTTAAGTTACTTTTGAGTAACTTGAAAACACGTTTGTATTGGTTACTTTTTCTTATTTTGAAAGTGTTGACACACAAAAAGTTCAGCCCAAATCGAATAGCCCAAGGAATGAAGCCCAATTGGAGGATTTCCAAATCAGATAGTCCAAAGAACGGCCCAATCAGACAATTCAGGATAAAGGCCCAAATAGGAAAATCCATGAACGTGGTAATACCATCGTCCAAGCTTGCAAGTCGCCCAAGATTTGAGCAAATGGATTGCCATGCAGTCGCCTAGAGCTGTGACCCTGTTCTCGTCCAAACCTTCGAGTCGCCCAGGATCTTAGCAAACATAAGATGTTATGGTTACCCAAAAGTGCGGTTAATGAAGTAGTTATTGAGTAGCCCTATCACGTTCCATGATTCAAGGAATTCAATTGAAGACGGTTGAACAACAAAAAGTAATGGCAACAGTTAGAGAAGGCAGTTCCATGACAAGTTGGCCACCATGAAGAAAGTGGGCAGTTATAGAGCGATCAAGCAGTTTTTAAGCGGTTGATCATGAAGAGATCATTCAGGGAGTATAAAAGGAAGAAAAGAGATAGAGCAAAGGACCCCGAATCAAACACTCTCAAACAGAGAATATGTAACTTTTAATTTCTTAGTTTAGATTTAAGCACTTCTTTTCAGTAACTCGTGTGCTTGCGCCCTTTGGAGGCATTCTATTTTATTTTCCAATTGTAAAGTCATCGCCAATAAAATATTTTCCAATTGTAAAGTCATCGCCAATAAAAACACCCCTTTTTGAGACTTTGTCTCAAGAGGTTTGTTCCTTACACAATCGTCTGATCCCTTTTTAATTGTTAGCGACTAACCCGCGCGAAACAATTTGGCACGCCCAATGGGACGGTGGTGTTTGGTGTTGAAGATACGCCTCAGAGATTTGATAAGGAAGCAGCAAATCAGGGAGGAGTCCAGTCTGTGATCGAGCGATATGAGGAGCAGCATAGCTCTCCACGAACAGATGGACAGAATCAGAGCA